TGCCCTATAATTTTTTGTGGTATCTGTCTAGTTTTAGTATAGAGTGATACTGACCTCTTAGAATAAATCTGGAAGTATTCCTTCCTCTTCTACTTTTTTGGAATACTTTAAGGATGGATTAATAATTCTTCTGTAATTGTTTGGTAGAATTCACCTGTGAAGACATATGAACATGGAGTTTTGTTTTTAGGGAGGTTTTAATCACAAAGTCAATTACATTGCTGATTGGTCTGTTCAGATTTTCTGTTTCTTCCTGGGTCAATCTTGGAAGATTGCATTTTTCTGGGAAGTTGTCCATTTCTTCTAGGTTGTCCAATTTATTGGCATGTAATTTTTCATAGTATTCTCTAATAATTCTTTATATTTCTGTGGTATCCATTGTGATTATCTCTCTTTGTTTCTGATTCTGTTTATGTGTGGACAGTCTCTTTCTTTCTTGATAAATCTGGCTAGGAGATTAGCTTTTTTTTTTTTTTTCAAGGAACCAGCCCTTGGCTTCATTGACTTTTTCCTATTGTTTTATTCTTCTTAATGTTATTTATTTCTATCTGACCTTTATTATATTCCTTCTTCTACTTACTCTGGGCTTCATTTGTTCTTTTCCTAGTTTAATTGTGATATTAGACTGTTTATTTGGTATTGGTCTTGTTTCTTGACATAGGCCTGTATTGCTACATACTTCCTTCTTAGAACTGTCTTCACCATGTCCCACAGACTTCAGGCTGTTGACTTTGGTTTTCATTTGTCTCCATGTATTGCTTGATTTCTGTTTCAATTTGTTCACTGATCCATTGGTTATTTAGAATCATGTTGGTTAGCGTCTATGTGTTCGTAAGTGAACCTTTTTTCTTTGTGTATTTCTAGTTTCATACCATTGTGGTCTGAGAAGATGTTTGATACAATTTCAATCTTTTTTAGTTTATTGAGGTTCTTTTTGTATACTAATATTTGATATATTAGGGGGAATGTTTCATGTACACTTGAGTAAAATATGTATCCTGCTGCTTTGTGGTAGAATGTTCTGTAGATATCTGTTAAGTCCATTTGATCTAATGCATTGTTCATGGCCTCCGTTTCCTTGTTTTCTGTCTGGTTGATCTGTGTATTGATGTAAGTGGTATATTAAAGAATACTAAAATGTTAGGTACTCCTATTTTGAGTGTCTAGATATTTATAATGGGTATATCCTCTTGTTGGATTGACCGTTTTATCATTAAGTAATGTCCTTCTTTGTCTCATTACTTTCTTTGTCTTGAAGTGTGTTTTGTCTAAGTACTGCTACACCTGCCTTTTCCTCCTTATTATTTGCATGAAATATCTTTTCCATCCCTTCACTTTTAGTCTCTATATGTCTTTGGGTCTGAAATGTGTCTCTTGTAGGCAGCATATAGATAGCTCTTCTTTCTTTACCCATTCTGCCACTCTATGTCTGTTGATTGGTGCATTCAGTCCATTTATATTTAAACTAATTATTGATAGGTATGAACTTATTGCCATTTTATTGTTTCTGGCTGTTTTTATAGCTCCTCTCTGTTCCCTTGTTCCTCTCCTATGCTCTTGTCTTGTTATTTGATCATTTTCTTTAGTGTTATAACTTGATTTCTACTTAAAAAAATTTTTTTTTTGTGTGTGTATCTACTGTAGGCTTTACTTTTGTGGTTACCAAATGTTCAAGGATAGCTTCCTTACTATATAACAGTCTATATTAAATTGCTTGTTGCTCTATTTCAAACACAATAGAAAGATACTTTTTCTTCTCCTTCTTCTTCCTCCACACTTTATGTATTAGAATGTCATAATCTGCACGTTTTTGTATCCCTTGACTGATTCTCCATATAGGGATTATTTTGCTTCTTTTGTTTTGTTTTAATTTCATATTTGCTTGGTAATTTATTGGTTTACTACCTTTCCTGTGGGTTTATTTTAGTGGAATATTTTAATCTACAGCAGTCCCTTTAATACATCTGGTAAGGCTTGCTTAGTGGTTGTGAATTCCTTCAACTTTTGTTTATCTGGAGATTGATACCTGCTTCAAATTAAATGATAATCTTGCTAGGTAGAATATTCTTGGTTGAAGGTCCTTCTGTTTCACTGCATTAAATATTTCATGCCACTCCCTTCTGGGCTGGAAAGTTACTGCTGAGAAGTCTGCTGATAGCCTGATGGGGTTTCCTTTATAAGTAATCTTTTTTCTCTCTCAATACTTTCAATACTCTCTCCTTATCCTTGATCTTTGCCATTTTAATTATTATATATCTTGGTTCTGTCTTCCTGGGGTTCCTTTTGTTAGAGACTCCATGCTTCCATGACCTGAGAATGTATTTCCTTACCCAGATTGGAAAAGTTTTCACCAATTATTTCCTTAAAGACACTTTATATCCCTTTTCCTCACTCTTCTCCTTCTAGTACTTCTATTATGTGAATATTGTTTCGTTTGGAGTGGTCACACAGCTCTCTTACCATTCTTTCATTCTTAGAGATCCTTTTTTCTCTGTGTTCCTCAGCTTCATTGTGTTCCTGTTCTCTAATTTCTGCCTCATTGAGTATCTCTTCTACTTGCAGTAATCTACTCTTTAATCTCTCCATTGTATGTTTCATTTAAGTTACTGTATTCTTCATCTCTGAATGGCTCTTTTTCAGTTCTTCTCTCTTTGTTGATGTCCTCCCTGAGATCTTGAAAATCTTTCTGTAAATCAGTATGTATGTTTATGACTTTTACGTTGAAATCTGCATCAAGAATATTGGTAATCTCCATCTTATGTAGCCCTTTTACTGGTGTCTTGTCCTATAGATTTGTTTGGAACATATTCCCCTGACTCCACATTTTGCCAGGGTTTTTGTGTTTCTTCCTTTATATTAGATGGACCTGCTATGCTTCCTGGACTATATAGTAATAGCTTTATGAAGGAGGCATACTATGGTGCACAGAAGTTCAAGGATAGCTTCCTTACTATATAACAGTCTATATGAAATTGCTGATTGCTCTATTTCAAACACAATCTAAAGGTACTTCTTTTCTCTATTCTCCAGTGCCTGGTTCTTCTGTGCAGGGACCTCAGCTATTTTTGGTGTGCAGTGGGTAGGACTGCCTTTATGTCTTCAGTGGTGACAGTTTGACTGAGCTGCCTTCAGTGAAGATAGCAGAAGCCTCTGCTGGGATTGCTTTGGACCAGGCCATCCTCTGCCTGCCCTGTAGCAATGGCAGACCTTCAGGGTTAATGGGTTGGTTGGGTTGATGTGGCTGTTGGGTGGAGTAGGATGCACAGCACTGGGCTTGAGCACCCACAGGAAGGAAGAAGGTCTTTGGGATGTCTCCTGTGGCACTTCCAGGTTGGGCTGAAATGGGGTGAGAAAGCTGGGAGATTCTCCCTCTACCTGCCAGGCAGCAAAGTCTGATGCTGCTACTGGGCTGAGTGGCTTGGCTCACTGGCAGCATTTACAGGGAGGAGCCTCAGGGCTATGTTGTCAGCAAAGGAGATGGAGATTCTTGGGCTCCTGAGAGTTCCCAACTTTTCGGGCTGAGAGAGGGCTGGGGAGGTAGAGCCCACCTACCCTTTCTCCTGGTGAGAGAGCACCATCCATCCCTTACCCTACTGGTACCCCACCTCCACCCCACTGCTGGTAAGTCTTTCAAACTGCCACCTCTGCTTTGGGTCTCAGGACTGGTGGAGCATTGCTGTCCTCCACAAGTGGCTGGAGTCTCAGCCTCCCAGAGTGTTCAAGCTGTTCCTGGTGTCAAGACCTGCTGAACACCAGAACCCAGTGTAATGTGGACTTGTGCTCTCAGAGTAGGTCTCTAGGGCCATGTGTGCAGCATTCCTGGGCTCCTAACCCCTTCTGCTCTGTTCCTCTTTCTCCTGCTTGTGGGCTAGGGTTGGTGGAGGGCTTGGGTCCCATTTGATCACAGCTCTGCCACTTTACCCTTCTCTGTGTGGTCTTCTCTTCCTCCCCATGTGTACATGGTCTGCTCTTCAGTCTCAGGTTACTTTCAGGTTTAGTTGTATTTGCCGAATTTTCTCTTTTTATGTCTGTTTAGGAGGAGGTATCTGCCTTGTCTTCCTACTCTGCCTTCTTTTTCTTCATCACTACTGGTGTATTTTTTACAGAATCCCAGATGCAGAAGAAACCTAAGTGTCCATTGATGAATGAATAGACAAAGCAAAGGTGGTAGTACATACAATGGAGTAGTATTCAGTCATAAAAAATAAATTGAATCTTGTCATTTGTGACAAGAACAGACCTTGAGGACGTTATGCTTAGTGAGATAAATGAGACAGAGAAAAATAAATACTTTATATGCTTATATATATATAGTTATACAGACAAATACATATATTTAAATATACAAATATACTTGTATATACAAGTACTTTCATGTAGAATCTAAAAAAAAAAGTAAATAAACAAAAAAACAAATTCATGGAACAAATTGGTATCTGCCAGACTCAGGAAGTGGGGAGTGGGTGAAATGGGTGAAGGTAAAAAGCATAAACTTCCACTTATAAAATAAATAAATCAAGGGATGAAATATATAGCAGTGTGACTATAGATAATAATGCCATGTTCACATTTCAAAGTTGTTAAGAGAGTCAATCTTTAAAGTTCTCTTCAGAAGAAAAGAAAATTGCATGGCAGTAAATGTTAACTAGACCTACCATGGTGATCATTTCAAAACATATACAAATATAGAATCATTACATTTTATACCTGAAGTTAATATAATATTTTACATCATTTATATCTCAATAAAAGAAATAGAGGCCTCCAAGTAATCCTAAGTATGCATGTTTAACAATCATTTTAAGAATGATAAAGGAGTGTACCGTCCAGGTGTAACCATCTTAGATATCATTATTCCATGAGCCTGGTCATTTATCTACATATGATCCCAAGCTGATTGGTTTGAAGAAATGTTCCAAAGTAAATACTATTAAGTGTTTTGTATAATTTTACCTTACTAAAATTGTGCTTTGGGAAACCCTAATTTTATGTTCTTTGTGTCAGTGTGTGAGAGAGTTCAAGACTTTCTGGGAAATGGTTTGTGGTGATGACTTTCTCATATTTGCAAATGCACAGTTCAGAAAAGATTGCTTGTTACGATTTTTGATCACCACAAAAGGATAGATCGCTGGATAGCAAGAGGAGAGAAAAATAGTGGTGTTCTTCAACCCTCGTACATCATGTCTATAACTTATGTAAATGGTAAGGCAGCTGTCGGTCCAGTAAAAGAAAACAAAGCAGCTCACCAGGGCCAGGATCATGTGGGTGGCCTCGGTTTCAGGAGAGGATCGTGGGCAAAGGCTGGTCCTGTGGACGTGCTGGACTGTCCTGTGATGTGTGAAGAGGAGCCTCACCATGTACACACTGGTCCAGATCATGAGGAACACACACAGGACATCTCGTATGACCATGGAACCTAGAAAGGCAGCTGCGTGGAGCCTATCAAGTTCCCTACCACTACAGTAATTCAAAGAATACCTTCGCCCAACTTCAGTGGAGTTGTAGGGGGCCACAGTGCTTACTATGACCCGGATGTAGATCAGCATGTTGATGATCCAGAATAAAAAGAAGGCAGAAAAAATGTATGTAGAGACTTGGGGTTTGAGCCATGCCCACCTGGAGTTGCTGGGAGTGATCATTACGGCCTGAAACATATTCAAGAAGGATGTCGTGCAGAGGGAAAGACCCCGGGTGACTCTGTACATGTACAGCACTGCCTTACAACCAATGTCATCCAGATAATTTCTTATTCCAAAGGAATGTATTATTTCTGGAATGCCACTGAAAAGAATTGTCATGACATTAGCTAAGGTTAAGTGGGTGAATATCCAGTGTATAGGCTTCTTTGTGTGGGGCTGAAAAAGAAGGGTGTTGATGTGCAGCATGAGTAGTAATGTATTCCCAATAACACCAATCCCAAATTGAGAGAGAAAGAATATTCCCAAAATACCATCATTGGAAACTGTGGTTTTCATTGGCTTCTTCGACTTCAGAGAGCCTAAAAAGTAGCACAAAATTGTTTGCAAGCTTGATAGAAATAACAGGACTCATGAGGTATGATGTGTAAATACTCTGTAACAATCTTCAGGATATTAAGAATTAGTTCTAGAGGCATATGTCAAGAATCATTGAAGTCACCTCAAAAGAATATTAGAGTTCAGATAAAGCATGCATGTCTAATTTATAAAGAAACATTACTGTAATCTATTTTATGAAAAATAAATGATTTTTCCTGAATGACAATTTTTTGTTCATTAAAAACTTTTCAGACTTTTATTGATTTATTTAAGCTCTGTATATATTATGAAATCCATCTCAAAATTTTGAATGCACACCCATCTTCTGTCATAAGAACAAAAAAATTATTAAGGGACTCTAATGCATATTGTTACTTTTCTACACTGTGTCAGACACATTACTGTTATTTTTATTCACCAGAAGATCCCACCCCCAGAGTAGCAAAAGACCATCTGTCTCTGTAAATTCCATTTCCTGACCCTTCTCTCTCTCTTCCTCAGCTCCAAGACCCTTCCACTGCACATGATGAATATCAGACCAGCTTGGAGGTCAGTTCAGTACATCCCCCATCTCTGACCTGAAGATTCCCTTCATCTTTTTGCTCCACCCTGATGCCATTGCTTCAAGAAATAGAGCCTTTCTTTCCCATGCCTCTTATACCTTCAGGCCTGTGGTGGGAACGTCCTCTTTGATCCCAAGCACTTCCAGATAATTCTCTATTGCTCCAGCTTTGCAACACTTGTCATCAGCCCCCAACAAATATCGCTGTTCCTCTGAAACAGTCTGTGGACCCCAGGCCAGCCCTCTCCATGATTCCTGATGGCTTCCTGAGACCCTCTTCGACCAAACTCCTGTCCTGTACTTGGTGACTGCAGTCCCCACCAGACCATCTGTGCAGTGCCTTCACCTCTCTCACTTGTGACCTCTCTTCCAAAGCTCTTGCCCCCCCACCTAATCACTTTTCTGCTCACATACTAGACATGTCATTGTCACCGTGTACTCATGATATTTTATGTCCAAGTAATTCATTCTCTTGTTACCAGATAGTTTCAGTTTATTCTATATAATTTCTGACTCCAACATTACCTTGACATCACCCAGGTCTGCCAATTATTGATCACCTCTTTATTCCATTCATTCGTGTAGCCTTTAATTCTTAAATAAACACCAATGATCCAGCATGACTGTCACTTCTTGCAAAAACATATCATTTCATCACTTTTTTCCTATTTTATAGTTTTCATCATACAAAATACTAATTCCTGTGAAATCTTAATGTGCCTCATTCATGGCATCCTGCTAAATTAGACAAGATTAGAGAAAAACACAAAACTGTGTTACCTGAACTAAACATCGAATTCCTCACCACTAACTTCCAGTGAGAATTTGTTTCTGGCCAGAAATCACACTGAATTTCATAAGTGCCTAGTTTATTCACTACTTCACTCACCTTGATGACTATTCAATAACTTCTTCAATATTCTCAAACCACCAATGTATCTTTTCATGCTCTCATATTCAGCAATAAGAAAAATAATATAATAAAAAGACTATGCCAGAAAGCCCACTACTGTATCAATATTCCTTTCTATATCCTTGTTCAGAACCTTTCTCTCCTCTCCTGGAGCTGTGAATACATTGCCCATGCACCTTTAATATCCAAACCACCATTTGAACAAGAAATCTGGAACTTTTCTGCTCAAAAACCTGTTTTGTATTCTTCTGTCTCTCATACATTATCAAAATTTCCTTCATTGACACACAAATGTACAGTATTTCTTGCAAATTCTTTGAGTCATTTCTCCCCTTCCCTTTTAAGTAATAGTCTTCTAAATAGTTGTTTCTTCTCCCTGTACCCAATTCCACTCATTTGCTCTTGATCCATGATGTGGTAGACTGCAAAAATGCCTGTAAGTTCTTCCCTTCCCTGGATGTATTGTAATGGGATATCGTTGCTCCACCAAAGGGATGGTTTTTTCCTTCACTCCTTGAATATGGGTTGGGCTTTGACTTGTTTTAGCCAGTCATTGTGGAGCAAACTGGACACACAGAATCCCGTTACATGCCCGCATATGGGCATTGATCAACTGCTTTGTTTGGAATCTTAATGCCAGCACGTGAAACATCCCAGCCTATTACAAGATGAGCAGCCACATGGAGGAAATCTAGGACTTTCAGCCACCAGAACTATAAAGGAGCACATTCCACACCAAGCAACACTGAGACCTACATAGGAAAACAGCCATCCTCTAGCCAACAACTAAGACGACCACACTTGCATGAGAAAGCCCATCAAAGAAGTGAGAGAAGCTAAACTCGAAAGCTCACACACGCATGAATCTATTCATAGGAAATATACAAATTTCTTAAATCCATAGAGACAGAAAGCAGACACATGGTTTCCAGGGACTGGAAGAAGGGAGGACTGGGGAGTCTGGAGTTTCCTTCTGTGGTAATGAAATGTTTGCAAGCTTAAAGTAAGTGGAACTTACATCCTTCATAAAGTATTCCAAAAAATAGAAGAGAGAATACTTCTAAACTCATTCTATGAGGTCAACATCACACTGATACCAAAACAAGACAAAGAATAGTCAAAAAAAGAAAATTACAGACCAAGATCTCTGATGGACACAGACACAAAAATCCTCAAAAAAATAGTAGTAAATCAAATTCTAAAATACATCAAAAGGATCACCCATCATGACCAAGTGGGATTTATTCCGAGGATGGTACAATATTGTAAATCAATGTGATACACCACATTATAAAATCATCTCAATAGATGCTGAAAAAGCATTTGACAAAATTCAACATCCATTCATGATAAGAACCCACAACAGAATGGGTAAAGAGGGAACATATCTCAACATAATAAAGGCCATATATGACAAATTCATATTAGTTGTAAACATCATATACTCAGTGGTGAAAAGCTGAAAGCTTTTCCTTTAACCTCAGGAACAAAGCAAGGATACCCTTGCTCTTTTGTTCAACATAGTACTGGAGGTCCTAGCCATGGCAATCATACAAGGAAAAGAGACAAAAGGCATCCAAATTAGTAAGGAAGAAGTAAAACTGTCACAATTTTGCCACTATGCAAAAGACAAGAAATAAGTGTTCACAAGGATGTGGAGAAAAGGGAACCCCCCTCCACTGTTGGTGGGAATGTAACTTGGTGCAGCCACTGTGGAAAAAGCAGTGTGGAGGTTCCTCAAAAAACTAAAAATAGAAATAACATTTGACCCAGTAACTCCACTTCTAGGAATTTATCCAAAGAAAACAAAATCTCTGATTTGAAAAGATATACAGACCCCTATGCTTATTGCCAATTATTTATAATAGCCAAGATATGGAAACAACAAAAGTATCCATTAATAGATTAATATATAAAGAAGTGGTTTGCATACACAATGCAATATTATTCAGCCATAAATAGAAAGAAAGACTGTCATTCATGACAACATGGGTAGACCTAAAGGTATTATGCTAAGTGAAATAAGCCACGTGGAGAAAGACAAATACCATATGATTTCACTTATATGTGGAATCTCAAAATGAAGAAAATAGCAGTAGACTCATAGACACTGAGAAGTAACTGGTGGTTACCAAGGGGAGGGATTAGGATGGGTGGGGGAAATTGGTGAAGGGGATAAATAGGCACAAAATATCTATCATAATATAAGTTTGTCACAGGGTTCAAAGTGCAGCATAGAGAATATAGTCAATGGTTCTGTAACATCTATCTATGTGGACAGATAGTAACTATATGGTTCTGTAACATCTACCTATGTGGACAGAAAGTAACTATATTAGTTGGGGTGAGGATTTAATAATATATGTAATGGTTGAATCACTATACTGTATACTGGAAACCAATATAATATTGTCTATCAATTACACTTACATAAAAAAATAAGTTTAAAAAAAGTGGTGCTTGTACAACATTGCAAATGTAAATGATGCTGAATGACAATCTTTAAAATGGTTAGTTTTATGTTTTGTTAATTTCATCACAATAAAATATATAAACATACATGAAAACAATTGTAAACTATAGCAAAGAGTAAATAAAAATAATACATCATGAAGAGTTTGGAATTTCCCAGAAATGCTATGATGTCTTAACTATAAGGAAATCTATTATGACAATTGTCCATATTAACATCTAAAAGGATAAAAGCACTTAACCATCTGAGAAAATAAGAAAGGAACATTTATATATACTTAATATCCATTTGTGATTTAAGAAAACTCATATTATAAATATAAAGGAGACTATTAATTATATGCAACATAGCTAGATAATATAAATATAGAAAGAATAATAGAATTTGTGAAATCTACTGATTCTCTTTTAAGTCACAAATGTAAGATATCTTGTCCCAAATATACTAAAATAATGTCCCAATTTTTATTGCATTTTAGCTCTTACCATGTGTGGTAAGGAATGGAAATGAAGATAAATATTCCAGAGAAACAACAAAGGTGCTGGTCATCACTCACTGATGGTAAGATGGTCTACACTAAAAATAATTTAAAACTACAAAAAGTATTACAATAAATAATTCAGTTCACTAATTTACAAGTTATTACCTTAGCTAGACAATGTAATTTAGAAAATATAGGAATTATTATAACAATAATACTATAGATTACCTCAAATTTGTATAACAGTTTCTTGGGTGAAATTATATAAATCAATTAAAGGATGTGTAAAAGAAAAATAAGTAATTGTATGTAGAATATTTATAAATCAAAATATCCAATATTACAGAGAGCCATTCTCACCACTATTTGAAACTGATGAAATTTCCAAAAAGAAAAATCTAAACTCCTTTGTTACATTGAACTTGACAAGATTTTCCTA